TGCTGATAGTGATATATAAATACGATATTGTCAAAAGGAGATATCAAGTAGTTGAAGTTGCCTTGTAGCTCAAATAGGCAGCAATCTATTTTTATACTTGTTGGTGTTCGATGGTTGAATCCTTGAACTTGATGTTTATTGCTCAACAACCAGTACCTCATGGCCTATACTGGATAACCATGAATATTCGAATCCGAAATCGTTACTTACATCGGTATATTAGCAAGCTTTCAATCTGGGGTTCTTTATTAAGTATCAAGAATCAGAGATTTTGCATCTTTTATGGAAAGAGAAAAGAGAAATCATCATAAGGGAAGAACAGTTGAGGGAAAAAACCAGAAGGCCTTGAATTTGCAAAGAACTCTCTCCACTTATATGTTCCTCGTATACAAACATTGTACATATGTTTTATCATCATTATGGTCACTCACTATACTCTCAAAAAGTCCTTGTTAAGAAGCCCTAATATGACATCCCTTGATGAATTTATCCGAGAAATCGATGTACTTATCCCAAAACGGTCGGAGCTGAGGGAAGGCTATATCGAGCCAAGGCTTAGCTCTGCCGTTGAAATGGATGACCCCGGCAGTTTCGGCTTCGGATGAAGTTGTGTTATCTTGGTATCCCAATCCCAACATGTGCCAAAATGGATCAATCACATGAACATGCCCATAGAATGCAATTAAACCAGGGGGTAATGTTCCCAGTTGCCACAAACTGAGGTCTGATTTAAGTTCTGCAGAAAAAAATTGATTTAATCAGCATATGGAAATCGAAGTATATATGCATATATGTCTATTTTTGTGTATATATTACCTCTTCAAGCCAGTGATAGTATGTGAGGCTAATATTTGTCTTCCTCCAAGCCTCGAGGTCAAAAATGTTCATGCCATATGCCCATGCACATTCGTTTGGATCGAAATTCTGCATGATCAAAGGGTGGGAGAAGTTGAGATAGCTCTTGAACCGCTTCGACATGACGAACGAATCTTCACCCCTACATGTCTCCACCGCACCGTTAACTTTTCCGTTCATATCGATGTCCCATAGAGGTGAAAGATCGGTTTGAATCACAATGTCGTCGTCTAGGAAGACTACCTTGTTAAGGCTCGGAAACAACTGTGAAATCGAGAAAGGCCATTACTGTTTGGACTATTTCTTCCCTTTCCATCTACTTAAACTAACAAAATATAATTTTATGTATTACCTCGGGTAAATGTATCCGAATGTGATTCATCAAGGAGTTGTACTTTGGACTCAATGCTTGTAGTTTCGCGGCGATAACTTGAGGCTTCTCGTTATTATTTGCTACAATGGCGGACGATCCCCCTCGGAACTGTGACCTCACTCTTTGATCTTTTTCCATTGCTTCCAAAACAGGTATCTTCCCTTTCGAAAGCCAATCAAATTGATGTAAAGCCTTAACCTCGATTATAGCAGGGTCTAAAGAATGCAATGAAAACCAGGCCTGCATAGGGGAGTAAGTTTTCCTATCGGTTATTATGTGTAGCACGAATTTTTTGGGGTGTAACGCGTTTTTAACAAGCGATGTTGCCACGACCGAGGCTGCAAGCACATTATCTGAGGCAAGTACAAAGTGAAAATAAGAGTTGTCGACAAGGGCCGGTACGAGTTCTGCTGAAGGGAGTTGGAGGCGAGCAGCTGCATTGTTCGAGTGTTCGTTGGCTAGCTTTAGTGCTAAGCAATGAAGCTGTTTCGGAATGCTGCTCGATGCTACGTGACGATACAAATATTCCTGGATTTTGGCTGCTCTGGTTCTTTGTTCAAGCAGAACTATCTGAAAATATAAACCCAATGTTTTAGCTCCAATGATCTCTTATATGGGAAAAAAAAACAGAACAATCGAAGCTAATACCATTTCTCTGAGCTTTAAAGCAAAGGTTTTTGCATCTAATCTGCTTTGTTTCATTTCAGACATAAACTCTTGTAATGTCTGAGGAACATCAGTCTTTCCCTGTACTTGTTCTTTGCTTACAGGTTCATCTAGGATTTGGTACATCACCTCTGGGACCTATTTCAATTAAAAAACAAAAACTTAATTCATATTCTTAATTATTACCTAATATTTGAACAAAAAGAAAATATAAAATGAAATAATTTGTTAAATAGTAGAATGAGTTTAGGAATTTACATTTGATTCAATCCTTCTTCCCAAGATCCTTGGTCCTAGTCTCTTTCCCAAGCAGCCTACCATAAATATATATAAAAAAAAGTGATTATTGGGATATGAGCATGCATGCATGCATAAATACATATATAAATATATATATTATGTATATATAACATATAAAACTTTGTTTAATATCAACTTTCTCTCTCTGAATCTCTCATTTTTGTCTCTCTGACTACGGATATTCATCAAATCTTAATGACATTATCCTATATGATTTTTCCAAGTTTTTTTTGTTTGTTTGTTCATCTGATATCTGCAACATAGGGAAATTGATATTACATTCTCCATGAACTCAAACACCAATGTTGCAGAAAACAATTAATACATACATACAAACATGCATATGCAGAGAGTTTGAATAAGAGAAAAGGTTACCAATGGAAGAACACTTGGAATGATAGCCATCAATGCTATCAATGGTGGACAAAACAAAGACGAACCGGAGAAGGAAGGTGAAGAAGAGAAGTGAATAGAAAAGCATCCGATAAGAAACCCTCCTGGAACCCACTTTCACCTTGATGAATTCTCTTACGCCTTTCCCAGGAAGCACCGTTACATGTCTCAAACTGGGTGAGATATGAAGCTGCATCTTTACTCTCTTGGTTTCTCTTATGATCCTCTAACAGTTCATTTGGGAAATGATATGAAGCCGATGATGAAGAAGAAGAAGATGAAAAGGCCAAGTAAGGAAAATGGTGCAAAAAATAGGGAAGGGATTTGAATTGTTGTTGTCAGGCACCTAACCTTGCTTAGCATAGAGGCTATACATACATACATACATACATACATCTATATATATATGGGGAAGAAGGGGGTTGTTAAAGAGAAAAAGACAAGGGACTTTGTTCTTGTTGAGGTTTGGAGGTTTGGTTTTCAAGCAGGGAAGTTGAGAGATCATCAGAAATGGGAACTTCATAAAAAAATTAAAAATCTTTATTTGGTGTCACTTAGCTTTGCCTCCACAGGAAGGTTTATGTAATTTACATCCATAAATAAATCAAATTTAATAACAAAAATGAGATGAAATTGGAGCTAACAACACATTACGGAATGGAAAATGACAGTCTCTTGCACCTGGGCTGGGTATTGAATCACAGGGACTTCGGTTGTTGGTATGAAAACTCAGCAACATCTACTTCATTTCTTTTGAATATTTTCATTGCCCAAAATGCTCACTTTTTTTGGGGTTTTTTCTCTATTAATCACGATTTGAATGCATTATGTTTGGTGTATAACCTGGTTTAAAGCAATAAATTTACATCACCTGGTCAAACAACGCCTATTTTACCTTGCAAAACAATCATAAGAATCATGATGGATTGACCATATTAATATCGGATAACATATATAGTTTGAGGCTATAAAGTAATGCTATTATTTACATTAAATACCACAGCTAAATATTGGTCTGTTATTTACAAAGTTTAACACATGAGAAACCTCAGAACATAATATCCACAGATTCAGCTTTGCCTCTGGTTGTTTACATATTTCCAACCCCATAGTATCAGAAGAATATATGCATACCTAGAATTGGGAGAGAAATGTCAAATTCAGTTCACGATAATGATAGAAAGAATCGATGCTTAGCCGAAGGAGTTGCTACTTCGTCTTAAACGACTTAATAAAGGGTTCAGATTACCTCTAGTCATAATCTTCATCAGCTTCATCTTCGAAATGATTCTCCATCTCTCGAGGCTTTCGCTGTTATTATTTACAAACTCGAGTTGAGCTTTCCATTCTTAAGCTCTCTCTATTATAATATCGAGCTGCTATGACTGTTATTTACAAAAGCCCTCGGTTCCTATGGTGGCATATTAGGAACTACTTAAGGCACCTTAGTGCAAACCAGAAGGACTGGAGCTGTTGGATGTTGCTCAGTGCTGCTATAACTTAACAACCAAAAAGCTCTCCGTCGAACTTCAGCCCCTTCGAGTTGGCCCCCATCGTTAAAGTATACGATTTTTTAACCCTGATGGGTTTCGCAGTCGACCATTTGATAGCCCTGTTCCTGAATATACAGACCTGTCTATCTATGGTACACGTGCTGCTTAAGGAAAGCAAGCGTAGGGTTTTGATGGGAAACTCGAGTGGATAAACAAAACTGTCTTATACGGATGAAACTAATTCCCTAATCATTAATAAAAAAATAAAATAAAAAAAATAAAAAGGAATTATTTTCGTTAAAAAGAAGAAGATTTACTAAACAAAGGAAGATAAATAACTTATATTAAAAGTTATTTGTTAAGCGATATGATGATTATCACTTGATATCAATTAATAATGTTTCAGGTTCGAGTTTTTGTGTATATAGAAAATTTCTGCATGGATACTCACGTGCGAGACTCACTCGCACGTGTCACTTCATCAGATATCAACCATATCATAATCTGCATCATCAAATTTACCATACTTGAAAATGCAGAAAAGAAAAGATGCATAGTTTTGCAAATTTATAACCTTTTCATCAGACCCTAAAGTGTTTTTAAACAATTAAACATCACGTGCTGAATACATGATAACATAACATAACATAACCATTGAAAGATTATGGTTTCAAAGATACAGATCAACGTGACATTGGTTTTGCAAGTGAATCAGATCAGTTACCAGGTTTCACCATTTACTTCACCAGACGAGATTTAGGAGCCTGCCCATTAGTTGAAAAACAAGCAGAACAAAGAACATACCATTAGATAATTGGATAATAAAATTGATTAGCAGGAAAAAGACACCTAACCTTGATAGATTCTAAATAAAATTACAAATTTCTAATAACAAATCATTAGATAATAAAATGACACCTTTTAATTCAGAATCATCTTCTTCACACCAGCTACAATACAATTACAAATTTCTTGAATCTTTTCTTCATTGTTGACTCTTATCCACAACAGCATCTCATAGTAACCTAACCTTGCAACACAACTCGGATTCCCTTCTTTGATATGTCCACAGAAAAAAAAGAACATTTCTACCATACCCATGTCAATGAAATACATAAGGAATGGACCATAGGTGCCCTCATCGACCTCAAATCCGCGCTCCCACATTTTCTTGAAAATTCTAAAAGCCTCAGACATATGTTTGAAAGCATCATCTTCATCGTTGCTGGTCCTGGCCTTCTCCAGACAAACTTCTAAAAGTGCATTGCACTCCTTCAAATCCATATCTCTTCCCAATTTATCGAAAACCTCCATGATAACTTTTGTGCCCAGTTTATCTCCACACATCTTTATTAACCGATCTAATGGGCCACCCTGAGTTTCCTTGTAAACCCATTTCTGTCTCCTTTCACCTGAAATTTCTTTCTGTTTAAGCGATATATCGTTGTTAGAAAAGTTTGAACCTAAAGAACTCCCACCATTCATCATTTCTTCGGAGTCACGTGAACCTTCTGGAGCATCAGCTGCACACAGAATAGAATACACGACTTAATTCACAATGAAAGAACTAAAACCCTCTCTGTTTTCCAAAAATAAAAAAATAGAGAAGAAAACAACCTTAAATTTCGCTAATCAGAAAGTTAAATAACTGAAAACAGCACGCTACTATCTGTGTACTTGGTAATTGAATACATGCACAAATATATGTACGAATACATGTATGTATACATGCACAAATATATGTATGAATACACGTATGCATGAATACATGCACAAATACTATGTATGGATATATAGTACAAATATACATGAATACATGACTGTATATGTATATGTATATTGCAATCACATAACCAATTCAAATAAATTAATTTTCAAATGAGTAAATTTTACTAACAAATATTTACAGCACAATATGGAGGATACCTCCTCCTCTGGAATCTTCCCTCTTAAATTCTCTGCATTAACCACAGTAAAATCAAGAGTTCAGATTTTACACTTCAAAATGACACATTTCACTGAATGAATTCTCCACCAGAACAACGAATTCTTCAACACTCGGAACCCAAAAGAACTAACTTCAAAACACACTTTGATGGATGCTATAAAAGCCAGAATCTTACAAACTGCGTTCTTCACTCAAAAGACGAAGCTTTTCATCAAATTCTCAAATACCAGAAACTAAAGCAACCCAAAGAACACAAGCCATAAAAAGTTAAAGGTTAAAGACAAACCAGAAGCAGAAGCAGCCTGTAGTAACCGGCTTTGGAAGATACCATCAGAGGCTGGTTTCTTGGTGGGTTTAGGCGAACGTTTTATGGAGGAATGAGATGGTGGGGTGCCAAGCCAAGAGACGAGCTGTTTTAGGGCTTTTTCACGGGTGCGTAAGGAGGAGGAGGGGTCTTTAACAGCCTTTTCAGCGGCGTTTTTAAAGAGGGAGGCAAGGGTTTTGGCTTTGGAAGATGCCATTTGATAGAGGTTTTTGGAGCTCACAGGAGTTGGCGAAGCCGGAGGTTCAAGGCTGCTGCTTTTACAACCTCCTAATAGAATTATAGAAAAAGTAAATAATTGATAATTACTTAATTACAATACTGAAATATTATGCATTAATGATTTCTTAATTCACAAGGCAGAATACCATACAACGATGTTTTCTATTTATGGACGAAAATATTATACATTTAATAACGGATATTTATTATTTAATTACTCAAACTTTTTAATAATTCTTCAACATAAATCTTTTATCTAAATTGTTTAACCTATAAAATAAATATATACAAAAATATTTTTTCCTTCAAATGATTTCTCTAATAAAAAAACTCCATTACTATTAATTGATCATTGCAATTGTATTACTATGGTACTTGTGTCGTTATTATATTTTCAGAGACAGTCAATGAATGATCTCAATCATTGTAATAACAGACAAATCTTATTTAAAGAAATTGTGTAAATATGACTTAACGAACTTTGTTCATCCGATCATGACTTTTGTCGAGTAAATGATCTTTTATTAGAGGTGTTTAAAAATATTCGATCTGATTGATTCGATTCTTTAACCCGATTAAAAAATATTGAGTATTTATAATAAAAATACCCGATTTTCTGAGTCGTGTATCTAGCTCGTTAATTTTTCGGATTTCTAGGTCGATCATAAAATGTTGCTTAACAGATTACCCGATGACCCGATACTGGGTTTATTTTATATATATATATATATATATATATTTTTACTTTTATTTTATATTATTTTTTATTCAAAATTCTTAAATTATTTCATTCTATCATTATCAATTCCCCATTTCTTAAATTTTATCGCCGTAACATTTTAAATTCTTATTTTTTAAAATTATTTCACATTAACATTCTAACTTATTTTTCAAAATATTTATTTTAAGAAGTATTTAATTTTTTTTAATTTTTTTAATTTATTTTTATTTTTATATTTTTCAATTATGTAATTTGAATTTTAAACTGTATGCGTGAATTATATATTATAAATATTTTTAATTTTATATTTTTTTATATAATTTTTTAAAAATAATATAATTTAAATAAAAATAAATAACAAATTACGAACCAGGTACCTGTGACCCGAAAATACAAATACCCAAGTTTTATGGGTACCCAACTTGCGTGTACCCAGATGTCATGGGTCTAGACACTGCTCGATATTTTAGTACCCAAAAATTCTGGATACCTGATATTTCAGATACTCATATTTTTGGGTAACCGGTTTTGAACACTTCTATCTTTCATTGTCCTTATTTACCTTTTTTTGTTTGTTTTATTTTGTTATATTTTATTATTATTGTTTAGTCTTGTTTATAAAATAAGTGCCTAAATTATACCGAATTTTACAAATAGGTGCTCAATTTTTTTTTGAATAATTAAGTTTATAATGTTACAAACGTTGTCATTTTAGGTGTCCGATTCGTAACGGTTGTTAAATTCCACCGTTAAATGACACATATCACGTTTTGGTAATTTTAAATTTAAAAAACTTAAATTTTATTAAATTTTAAAAAAACAATTTCTTTAAAATTACAAAATAAACCCTAAATTTCTATAAATCCCATCCCCAAATACCCCCTAAATCCCTAACCCAAAGTCTATCATCGTTGTTAGCGAACACCCTCCACTATCGGCGAAACTCACTATCAACCACACATCGTGAGTTGTCATCGTCAAATCTCACCAATGGAGGAGAAACAAATGGAAGAGAAAAAGGTTGACGGAGTAGCCTGCCCCGTCATCCCTCTTCAGTGTCATCCGACCCATTGTCCCTGTTTAGTGTCATCCCTCTCCCTAGTGCAAAGCCCCCTTGACGAAGCCTAGGAGCCCATTCATCAGATTCTAGGAGCAGTCGTTGGCGACTTGAAAAAAAGGATGAAAATTTGGGGTTGTTTTGTAATTTCAAATAAATTAGAGGTTTTTTTATTAAAAAATATTTCTAAATTTTTATTTAAAATAAAAAATTCAAAAAATATAAACATGGCATGTGTCACCTAATATACTTTTTTAATGGTCATTACAATCCGTGTACTTAAAGTGATAATATTTGAAATGTTAGGTACCTGAATAATTAAAAAAAAAGAATATATAAGTGTTTTAAAAATGGTATAATTTCAACAATTATTTTATAATTAAGCTCATTGTTTATAGGAACTCTGCCCGTGTGGATGCATCGTAGGAGAATGTCGAGAGCACATACTGATTCCTGAACTTATCAGTCAGGAGCCAAGTCTGTTTATAGGAACCATCGGAGAAGACGATGGTGGGGAGAGCAAGTTCATTGCCTGTGCAACAAGTGTCATACAATGAACCGATAACCTTGGTTCATGGTGAAGCATACTCTTCACCGATAAAAACCCTGAAATTTGACAACACTTGCTACATTTTGGCTGGAGATTAATTAAATCTCAACAAACTTGTAAACTTGCAACATTACTTGAAAGACCGTGCTGCCTACATTCTGACAAAACACCATCTGTTCTGAAATATGTTTAAAGACCAACAGCATTGGATTCCCGTGCTTATCAAACCTTTAAGTTTTGTCAGGTCAATTAAAACTCCTTTTTTATAGCAGAAAATTCAAGTGGGTCTACTAGGAACAAACAGCAGCAGCAAATATCTTGAGCAAATCTGAACCACTCATGGCACTCAGCAAGAACCAAATCTCAGAAACAGAAACGCAATGGCTTCCATTGCCAAGAAATTGAAGAATCACTATACTTGACTAAGCAAATTTTGTTTCATAAATCAATACGTTAACAATCTTTGTTTCCTACTGCTGCAAATACAAGATCTGAAAAGATGCTAAAGAACACTGGGAAAAAACCACCCCAAAAAAACTCACCAAAAATTAAGCAAACTGAAGGCCAAGAGATTCGCCAAAGCTCCCATCACTACACAAAAACTACCCATCCTTGGTGGTGCCATAGACTTGAGCTTGATCCCTTTCTTGTTAACCTTAATACCACTAGCGTTGACCGTCACATCTGCTCCTACCCTTATCCTATGCCTCTTTGTATACCAGAACATGATCTTAAACTTCACCGACGTCGACAAATCCACCCGGAAAACCCCCGTTCCGTTGTCGGCAACCGCCTGCAACGCCACCGTCGTGTTAGCGGTCCCCGTACCGTCCTTTTTAGCGTTCTTTTTGTGACCCTGGTAAAACGCCGGCACCAGAACGTTGCCTATGACATGACTTCTGTTCGAATAATCGAAAACCGTGACGTTCACCGGATCGTACTTTATCCCTTTGTCTTTGTTGGGGTTGCTTAGCTTTAACGTGAGGTTTAAGGTGGTATCGTTTGGGGTGTTTAAGGTTTTGTTAAGCGAAGGCAAGTAGAATTTCTCGATGGAACATTTGGGGTTCGAAGTACGTAGGCTTAGCCACATGAAAAGTGCTGTTAGACCCAAAGTGAAGACGAATCTGCAACATCCTCCGATGGTATCCGACATGCTTCCCGGTGACTGATGATTGGTTTCTGTAAAGGGTATTTATGAGAAAGAAATGATGGGAACGAGGGGTTAAAGCCCAAAAGGAGATGTTGCTTGAAAAGCATATTATAAAGAAATATTTGTTTGCCTTTCCCTAGCTTTTCCTTATAGAATAATAATAAAGTTTTAAGTTCCATACATTATTATAATACAATACCATTTTTTAAGTTAGAATCTTAACATTAATAATGAAAAATAAATTACAAAAAATATTATTATAATAAATTTTTGTAAAATTCCATCTAAATTAATAAATTTTATATTCGTAATGTCTAAATGTATTTTAATTATAAATTTGATTATAATTTTATAATGATTAATTTTAAATACAAAAATAATTAAGTATTATACATGATAATATTTCCGATTATTGATTAAATTAACTGATAAATTTGAATATGAATCAAATTATTTATACATCATATTTTCTAAAAATAATAGTTAAAAGGGTAATTATACCATTGACCACTCAACTATGTAACCCTTTTACTTTAACCATTGATCTTTTAATTTTGTCAATCAAACCACCTAACTTTTTAGTTATTTTCTATCAAGCCACTTATCGTTAACAGTTACATGAAATACTAATGTACTAGTTAACGAAATTAGCACAATTTTACATTTAATCCTCAATATTTATAAATTCTATTAATGTGGTAGGGTTTAAACCTAGGTACTGTGAGTTATGAATCAGCACCCTAACCACTAAGCTAGACCCTCCGGTTGATTAATAGTTGCAGAACGCAAATTACATATTGTAACTAATATATAGACTTTCATATTGTAACATATTTTTAATAAAAATAATTATATATATATATATATGAGATTATTAGTAAAAAATTAAAATTATTCAAAATTTTATTGCTAAGTTCAATACATATATATATATATATATATGTTTATTTTTATTAAAAATGAATAAATTATTTGACAAATTTAACACTAATTTATATATAATCATAAATTTAAATTGTACAACTTAAGTAATAATTTTAAAATTTTTATTAATAATTTCATATATGTATTTTAACTCAAAAATATTTAAAAATTTAAATTATTTGATAAATTTAACAATAATATATATAATCATTAAATTGATTTTTTAATTTAAATAATAATTTTATTTTTTATTAATGATTTTTTATATTTTAAATTAATTTGTTATCATGAAAAATCTGACCTGAACAGTGCATAAAAAACCAACCAGAACCCATTTTTTTTTTAAAAAATCCGACCCGATCGAGTCGGATCAAGTCGGAACCCGTCGGGTTCGGGTTCGGGTTCGGGTTCAGTTGTCATCCCTATTGACATCGCCACGACTGATCAAGATGATGTTTATTTGTTATCATGATGATCTTCCCTGCTTTGGACCCTCAGATTGATTTGTATACATGTTTTGTGTTCGTGGATAATTTTCTCACGTCGCTTGACTCTGATTTATGATTTGTCGGTGGTCTTTCAATAGTTTCGTCATCTTTTGTGGTTTGTTTGCCGATGCAGTCAGATTTGTTCATATCTTTATTTTGTTCGAGCATTGGTTAGTTTTTTAACATTTTCCCTTTTTGGTCATTACATGATTTAGGTGGCTAATTTTTGTGTAAATGGTTATATGAAGATGCCCTAAATATAATTTAGTTTATGTTTATAATTTAGCTTACGTTTACGATTATGCTTATAAATCTTCATTGTAATTCTAGATATTTTTAATTTTTAATAAAACTAGCGGCTTCCTATAAATAAAAAACTTTAATCAAAAGTAAACATATGCATAGAAATTGTATATATATATATATATATATATATATATATATATAATATACTTATATGATATTATGGTGTATTGAAGATTGAAAAATCTAATCTCTATCATCTAAGATCTCAAAAGAAAAATTATAGATGATGAATATGATATTCGATAAAATTATTACTTCAGAGCAAGTCGTACTGATAACGTGTTATGAAAATAATCTAAACGAAGCAATAAGAGGTACATGAAGAAGAAAAAACATAAAAATAAGTGAGAGAGAGTTGTATTATTATCTTAGTCTAAGCTGTGTAAAACGCTTTTTCTGAATTCTATATTTATAATACCAGGAAGTCGATATCAAATAGAGCTATAATCTAATGGATATTAAAGCCATAATAATAGAGTATATCAAAATTCTATATTATAAATATAGATAAAGATAAAAATATATATTTAAGTAAATAAATATAAAGCATAAATCAATTTTATTTAAATTTAATACATTTTCAGTATTTCTATTAATATATTTATTATTCAAGAAAATAATGAAAAAGGAAAAGCCAAAAACGGCAGCTTCGTTGAAGGCAAAATACCTTTCCTAAATCTCAACGTCAAAGGAAAACACTAATCTTAGCGTCTAATCCACGTCATCAAATATTCTACTAACACGTGGCTTCATACCCTTCATTAATTTCCCCTACTTTTCTTCATTAAGTCGGCAATGTCCCCTTATAAATTAATCATTCTTTTTCCTCTTATTCTCACATCAAAATCAAAAGCCCAAATCTCTTCGCTCCTCTTCTGATATTTGTTCGTCAAAGCTCTCGATTCCAATTCTCTCTCTCCCTCAATCGAAAGGTAATTTTCTTCTGGTTTTCATTTGTTTACCCCTTTTCAGTTCTTGATTTCTTATTGTTGTCGAATTTTGCTAGATTTTTGTTTTTTAGGGTTTTGGTTTGATTACTTGATCAATTCGAGCTATTCCGGGATAAAATTTTAGCATCTGTTTGTAAAAAAGTAATTTTTTTTCGAATTCTGGTTCATCAATTCTTTTTGATTGGTATTAATATGATCGGTGGGATCTAGTTAGGGTGGTTAGACCAATTTGACGGTTATTGTTCATGTTCTTTGATTTATTATATTGAATACTGTTGATTTTGATCTTCGATTGATTTGCCAATTATTCATTAATTTATATCTTATATGCACACGTGCCAAGATGCTATACTATTGTATAATTTTAGATGTAGATATGATATATGCCAAATTTAATCTTCGGAACTTCTGCTTATGTTTTTTAGCTATCTGTTTTCTTTTTTGGAGGGTAAAGGTTATAATTTTTATTCAAGCAAAGGATATTGGAAAATATAAAGTAATCATGAGTTATTTTTCTTGCATAACAGATGCAGATATTTGTGAAAACTCTTACCGGTAAGACCATCACTCTGGAGGTGGAAAGCTCAGACACAATTGATAATGTCAAGGCCAAGATCCAGGATAAGGAAGGGATCCCTCCCGACCAACAGAGGCTTATCTTTGCTGGAAAACAGCTTGAGGATGGCCGTACACTTGCTGATTACAACATCCAGAAGGAGTCTACCCTACACCTTGTCCTTCGGCTGAGGGGTGGTATGCAGATTTTTGTAAAAACACTTACTGGAAAGACAATCACCCTTGAGGTGGAAAGCTCCGACACAATCGATAATGTCAAGGCCAAGATCCAAGACAAGGAAGGGATTCCTCCAGACCAACAGAGGCTTATCTTTGCTGGAAAACAGCTTGAGGATGGTCGTACACTTGCTGATTACAACATCCAGAAGGAGTCTACCCTACACCTTGTCCTTCGGCTGAGGGGTGGTATGCAGATCTTTGTAAAAACACTTACTGGCAAGACAATCACCCTTGAGGTGGAAAGCTCCGACACAATCGATAATGTCAAGGCCAAGATCCAGGACAAGGAGGGCATCCCACCGGACCAGCAGAGGCTTATCTTTGCTGGAAAACAGCTTGAGGATGGTCGTACACTTGCTGACTACAACATCCAAAAGGAGTCTACCCTACACCTTGTCCTTCGTCTCAGGGGTGGCATGCAGATCTTTGTGAAAACTCTTACTGGCAAGACAATCACCCTTGAGGTGGAGAGCTCCGACACAATTGATAATGTGAAGGCTAAGATTCAGGACAAGGAGGGCATCCCACCGGACCAGCAGAGGTTAATTTTTGCTGGGAAACAGCTTGAAGATGGCAGGACCCTAGCAGACTATAACATTCAAAAGGAGTCTACCCTCCATTTGGTGTTGCGTCTCCGAGGTGGCATGCAAATTTTTGTGAAGACTCTTACTGGAAAGACTATTACATTGGAAGTTGAGAGTTCTGATACAATTGACAATGTGAAAGCTAAGATCCAGGACAAGGAGGGGATTCCACCAGATCAACAGAGGCTGATCTTCGCTGGTAAGCAGCTGGAGGATGGGAGGACACTTGCCGATTATAATATTCAGAAAGAGTCGACCCTCCACTTGGTTCTTCGTCTGCGTGGTGGGATGCAGATTTTTGTGAAAACCTTGACTGGTAAGACCATTACATTGGAGGTGGAGAGCTCCGATACAATTGATAACGTTAAGGCCAAGATCCAAGATAAGGAGGGAATCCCACCTGACCAGCAGAGGTTGATATTTGCTGGAAAGCAGCTCGAGGACGGGAGGACTCTTGCTGACTATAACATTCAGAAGGAGTCAACCCTGCATTTGGTCTTGCGCCTTAGAGGAGGGATGCAGATATTTGTCAAGACCCTGACTGGAAAAACTATCACCCTGGAGGTTGAGAGCTCGGACACAATTGACAATGTGAAAGCAAAGATCCAGGACAAGGAGGGGATTCCCCCAGATCAGCAGAGGTTGATCTTTGCTGGGAAGCAATTGGAGGATGGTCGTACTCTTGCTGATTACAACATCCAGAAGGAGTCCACTCTGCACCTTGTCCTTCGCCTCCGTGGTGGTCACTGATTTGGGTTATAGTACTAAACTGCCTTTGATGTCTAATATAATGTAGTATAATATTCCTTGAACTTTATGTGTTCTGCCGTTAAAGCGGCAAACTCCTCTATTAAATGTTTCTTATCTTTTGTTGGTGTTCGTAGTGGTTATATAACCACATTTCAATTACTATATTAAATAAAGCTTGATATTGCTCTAAAATTCCCCTTCTTAATTACGTGTACTTTCATGTTGCAATTTGTGTTTGTAATTCAATATATAATCAAAGGGAAGTTATTGTTCTTTAACCAAAAATAAGGTTGCAAAAGTAAATATTAAAGCAGATGAGAAACTTTTCATAAACAATTAACAAAAGTGCCCACGATGATGAGCTTTTATTACAAGGAAAGCTAGTCACCCCGTAGTGTGGGAGACATTTAGCATTTATTCTTCAGCATTTTATCTGCGGCTATGGTCCTTTAGGCCCTGTCGCGAGAAGGAAAATCACACCTCCTAGGCTGCATGTCACATTTTGACATAATTTTTTCAGCAGCCTCATAAAGCTCTTGCATCTCTTCTCTTCCCATCTGTCCTTTCATCTGTTGCATCGCCGCGTGTTTTAGACCGGGGCATCGGCATTGGTTATCCATCTTCTCTAGATGCCAGCAACAGGAGTCAAGGTACCTGTTGCATTGTCTATTGCACCTTCTGCTGCTGCTGCTACAACTGCACTCTTCCTCCATGTATTTCTGGCAGTCCTTGAGATGGTCTTGCTCCCTTATCTGCTCTTGGCAGCTGCTCTGTGATCGCCTAGACGGCCTCCATGTGTCCTCCTCATCGACAGTCACGGTTGTGATCGAAGCATGAGCGACGAACAAAACGAGGGCGAAGGTAGCTAAGTAGACTGCGAGCTTTGCCATTGTTGAATTACAGGTAAGTGGGATATATATTTGGTTATAGGGTTTTGATGGTGAGAAACAGGGCGGGGAGTGATGGCTATTTGTAGGAGAGCTTGAACCTTTGCATGGAGAATACGTGGAATGGTGGAAGTAACACGTTGTTTAATCTTTGCATGCGAAAATGGACATATTCTGTTCGTCTTGTTATGCAAATGCCTTACTGTGATCTGCAGTTCTGGCTCTATCCCTTCTCTCTCGTGTATGTAAACTGCCTTGTTGGGATCTGTAATCATGTAAGGTTGAGTTAATTTATATTTTCTCCTAAAGTGATTTGGTGGTCATACGTTCGACCCCTTGGCAAGTGTCTCGACTTTGATTTTCCTCTTCAGCAAAGAGCTTTTATCTCAGTTTTTATAGTAACACGGTGGTCACATGTGTCATATCTTATTAGAGGATGTTACACTTCTAGAGAATACCTTTGAAGATAACCTAGTTTCCGTTGAGATTTGATAATTATTGTGCATAGACAAGATTTGGATAGGATTCCTAGCAGATCTATGTGATGTATTAGAATAAAATTCAAATTCTAAATATTAGCTCTATCTTACCTACCTATCTACAAATAACTATGATGACTCCATGTACATGCTAACGTGACTAAAAATAGACTGGAACCCTTTCTACCCACGTCGCCTATGTATCTTCCTCATGTCATCATTTTCTTCCTCGTGAACATTTTCCTTTTATACAAGAACACTAGCCTACGATTGACGTTCTTTTACTAACTGTGACTATCTCCTTTCAAATTAGAAAAGGTGAATTATCGATGTACCCAATTTATTACCATTAATAGAGGGCATATGTTTATTTAAAAAAATTGACATATAACCATACTGACTCAGATACAATTAGTAACGAATAACAGCATACAAACCTAAATGGAAGTTTTTCGATTTCATTAATTATAGTGCAAACGACCTAAAAATATAATAACCATTAGTGTAATTAATCTTTTCTTGTTGGGTTATAACAAAAATAAATAAATACAAGTAGCATATGACTATCATATACACATTGATGCCATGTGAGCTACTCACCTTTTTCTCTGAACCCCCAGAAAGAAAAATCACTTTTTTTTTTCTGCAATGCAAGCATGCTTGTGATGGTGGGTCCTCAACCCTGACTCCTGATGCATAGTTTTATCAGTACCACACTGCATTTCTGGTACCCCGAACCACCATTGTTTATCTTTAGATTTTCATGCCTTGGGTTTCGATTTCTGGTACTAAACTTTCAAGTTTAATGGGTACTAATGGATACGTGAATTCAAATAAGACTCAAATCAAAAGTTCAAGTTGCAAAATTCAAGTCTGAGCAGTAATATCAGTTAAAACCAAGAGAATCGTCTGCAGAAGATTGCAGATGAACAGCAGATGAAAATATTTGTAAATCTTTCCAACTGGAGATGTACAACAACCTTTTGGCTTAAAGTCCATGTGTTGGTCTAAAAATCTTTATCAGTAATTGAACACTACATTTCCACCTAACATATACCATCACCAAGCTCCATATTCTATTTGCCCAACTAACATTCTATTTTTCCCAACTAACATACAAGAGAATGTTTTTTCTTTCTCTTTAGTCACTGGAAACAGTATTTAAATGCATGTCTCAGCATACCCGAACTCATAATTTCTCTTCTGCTACAACTGGAATTAATAAATGGCCGAATCAGAACATTCTTCTAGTGAAAATGCATCCATGGACACCATAGGTAAGAACCCTAAGCCATGTTTTTATATTTCATTACTGTTTGGGATTTTCTTTCTTCTTCTTCATTACTTTTTTTTTTCACCAGAGGAGCACAGTAAACAAGATTCCGAACTGGAGTTCTCAGATGATGAGGAAACGCTGATAATCAGGATGTTCAATTTGGTTGGAGAAAGGTAAATCATGTAAATATTTCCATAACGCGTGAGAGTTTTTGTATCTTTAACATTTGTATGTATCAGGTGGAGTTTGATTGCTGGGAGAATTCCAGGAAGAACAGCTGAGGAGATTGAGAAGTATTGGAACACAAGATACTCGACAAGCCAGTGAAGAACATTCTGGGATTTTGCTTAACTTTGTTTTTTTTTTAGTCTCTGGAGTTTGATTACTGGATTAATTACTGTGTTTGTTGTAATTTGATTAGAAGTATTGTTATGTCTTCTTAATCATGCTTAAAACTTAATCCTTTTTCCTACGTTTCGTGCATGGATTCCCATGCATTCAACATTCTAATGTGATTAAAATTATCCTCATTCCACGAGTATAATATTAAAAATGATAGTTCAGGTACTAAACACGTAATTTACCCTTTTTATTACTTCCTTTGATCTTGTGGGTGTAAAACTTAAAATTATCCTCATTCCACGATTGAAATATTAAAGCTATTTTCGATTTAAATTGTTTTTAATTCTACCAATGAATTTTAGTTTTAAGTGTTGGTTATTAAAATGCTAAAACAAGATAACATTATTATTTTGTTTTATAAACTTTAGTTTTGTATCAATTTGGCCTATACATAAAATCGTCAACTCCTCAAACCGATGTTGTTCGTCATTTATTGTCAATCATTGGTCATCAATTATGACAAGAACAATAACAAAATGATTGTATTTGACTATCTTTTTTTTATAATCGGATTGATTTTTCATAAAATTCATAAAATTTGATGAAAGTTAATTTAAAAAATTTATGTTTTAATGTTCTAATTTCCTTCGGTGATCGTCTAATAAGACTAATTTTGAGATATTATATATGTCTTCTCAAAAAATATTTTTCATGGTTTAAATTTTCGAACAATTAATTCAAATATCTGTTATAGTTTAGAGTAATAGAAAGGATAAAAGAAGAAGAAATTAGAATTGAGAGATTACAGATAGGAGATACTTCATTCATTACTTGAGAAATCAATTCTTCTTAGCCATTATTTTATTTAGTTACAGGGCTATAATTGTAATTTAAAATGTGCCAGCTGTCAGTACTCTATAACAGCTATAACTAACTCATATTCTCTTCTCTCCTTAGATCCTGGGCCATCGAACTTGGGCTCATTCCTCTCCTGCTGGACTGCAACTCGGACGGTCCACTCCCTCTTGACTCCCACGTTTAATCTGCTCCACATCAGAAGGTAAATATCTCATTCCCTCTTCTTTTACTTTAATCCCTAAATCCCTAATTTCAAATCCCTCTCTTCCCCCGATCCCCAATTCTACCTCCTCAAACCCTAACGCTTGACCTCCTCTTCCCTCAATTCCTTCGTCATTTCCACGCTCTTCTCCTCCTACTTTAACAATACCCGCCGCTGGAATCGATCCTTGACCCCAAGGATCAAAGCCTGGAAATTGCCCTCGCAAAATAGTATAATCTTCCCATGTATCATTGGTCTCATCAAGGTTCGTCCATCGCACCAACAACTGTGTAACATGTTTGTTTTGTCTGTTGATAATCCTTCTGCCCATCACCTTGTAAGGTTCTATTGTTATCTGTCCTTCTTCGTCCATTGCAGGAGGAGTCGTTGAAGAGACTGCTGAGGGCCCGATGTGTTTTTTTAACAGACTTACATGAAAGACTGGATGTAGACGTGATGATTCAGGTAAGTCTAATCTATGCGCAACTTCCCCAATTTTTTCAATAATTTTATAAGGGCCATAAAATTTCGCTGCTAGCTTTAAATTTTTTCGCAGGGCCAAGGAAGTCTGTCGATATGGTTGCAGCTTCAGGTAAACTGTATCTCCGAATGTAAAAACCCTTTATGTTATGTTCTTATATGCTTTTTGTTTCATCCTGTTGCTAGCATTCTCCAATTGTAGCTTTACTAACTGTCTAATGTCCTCTCTGCTTTTCATTAAATCATGAACTGTCTGTACATGAGAGTTTGTCTGCCAAACCATAGTAGGAGGCTTATAACCATACAATGCCTGAAAAGGTGTAATTTTCAGGGCAGTATGGTAGGTAGTATTATACCACCACTCTGCATGAGGCAACCACTTAGCCCATTGCTTAGGTTGAAAAAAGCATAAACCCCTTAAATATTGCTCCAAACATTGATTTACCCTTTCTGTCTGACCATCAGTCTCAGGATGGTAAGCTGTGCTGAACAGTGTAGTAGTTCCAAGATGCTTCATTAGTTCTCTTCAAAAGAGACTAGTGAATGTTTTATGTCTATCGGAAATAGCTAATTTAGGTTGACCATGTAACTTGTAAACATTATCAAGATAGAGTTTAGCCACCTCCACCACAGTATAGGGATGAGACAATGCCATAAAATGATTGTATTTTGTGAACTTATCCACCACAACCAATATACAATTCTTTCTCAAAGAAGTAGGTAAGCCATCAATAAAATCCATAGTAACCACATCCCAAGCTTGTTGAGGAATAGGAAGGGGCTGTAGCAGTCCTGGTTTAGATATATGCTCAACCTTAGTTTACTGACAAACTGTACAACATCTTATATAGTTGACCACCATTGCTTTCAGCCTAGGCCAATAAAAATAGGATCTAATCCTCTGATATGTAGCTTGAGTCCCAGAATGCCCTCCATGAGGAGAATCATGTAGAACTTGAAGAATTTGGAGTCTAAGAGACCCATTAGATCCAATGTTAACTCTGCCTCTGAATCTTAGAATCCCTTTTGAATATGTCCAATTAGGAGCAGGAGTAGGTGTTACAGATAATAATTTGATCCAATCAGCAGCCAATATGTCATCCTTATAGCTAGTTTCAACTTCATGTACCCAGCTAGGAATAAGCAAAGTAGTTCCCATGGCCAAACAGTTACCAGTATCTTCCCATTGCCTTGACAAAGCATCTGCTACAGTATTAGGTTTACCCCTTCTATATTGAATAGTATAGTCCAACCCCAGTAATTTAGTCAACCCTTTCTTTTGAATTATAGTGGTCAATTTATGCTCCAATAAGTACTTTAGTGGTTCATGATCACTTTTAATAATAAAAGGCTAACTCTCTAAGTAATGCCTCCACTTAGAAACTGCTAGTAAAATAGCAAGATACTCCTTTTCATAGATAGAGAGGGTAGCATGTCTAAGACTTAAGGCCTTACTGAGATAGGCAATAGGTCTGCCCTCTTGATATAACACAGCACCAATTCCTCATGAGATAGCATCTGTTTCCAAACAGAAACTTTTGCTGAAATCAGGTAAAGCCAAAACTGGAGCCACACACATAGCCTGTTTTAACAATTCAAAAGCAGTCAAAGCTGCAGTATTCCACTGAAAATTATCCTTAGTAAGCATTTGAGTTAAAGGCTTACTAATGGATCCATAGTCTTTAATAAACCTCCTGTAATAACCAGTTAAACCCAAAAATCCACGCAAAGACTTCAAAGATTTAGGAAGGGGCCAATTCTTCATAGCTTATATCTTACTAGGATCTGTTGCTACTCCTACTGTAGAAATAATATGTCCCAAGTACTCCACTTGGGTCTATCCAAAAAAACACTTGGACATTTTTGCAAATAGTTGATTGACCTTCAAAATCTCTAAAACTAATTGCAAATGAGTAATATGTTCTGCCATAGAATTATTGTAGACCAATATATCATCAAAGAACACCAAAACAAATTTTCTAAGAAATGATTTAAACAAATCATTCATTAGTGCTTGAAATGTAGCAGGAGCATTAGTAAGACCAAATGGCATTACCTTGAATTCATAATGCCCTTGATGAGTTCTGAATGCTGTTTTGTAAATATCCTCTTCTTTAATTCTGATTTGCCAATAGCCTGACCTTAAGTCAATATTGGAAAAATAAACTGCTCCATATAATTCATCTAATAAGTCCTCCACCACAGGAATAGGAAACTTGTCCTTTACTGTCAGATTGTTTAATTGTCTGTAATCAACACAAAACCTCCAAGTCCCATCTTTTTTCTTTATCAATAGGCATGGAGAAGCAAAGGGACTCTTGCTAGGTTGAATAATGGAAGATGATAACATTGTAGAAATCTGTCTTTCAACTTCAGTCTTCTGGGTATGAGGAAATCTGTAGGGCCTCAAATTAACAGGACTAGAACCAGGTTTGAGGGAAATAGCATGATCATGAGTCCTTGTAGGAGGTAATCCTTTAGGTTCCTCAAAAACAGAGTTATACCTCTTTAAAAGAGGTTTAAGAGCTGTAGGAACTGACTTAGGAGTTTCAGTCATACTCAACAAAACCACATACCCCAAAATAGCTGCCTCAGATGCTGTCATTTTTAATAAAGTAGCACCTGAAATCTGCTATAACAGCAGTGAAGGTTGTTGTCCCTGTATAACAATATTTTCACCTTGATGCTGAAAACTCATTGTCAGTTGATTGAAGTCCATCAAAATTGGACTATATACCCTCATCCAATCAACCCCTAAAACCATATCACTGTCTCCCAATTTAAGGAGTCTAAAGTCATGTATAAAAGAGTGCCCTTGCATCTGCCACTCCACCTTGTTGCATCTAGCTGAACTATAGAGCTGTTGGCCATTAGCTACTGTAATAGCTAAATGATAGGGAGTTAGAACCTGAAATCCAGCATCAGCCCATTCTGGTGTCAAAAAGCTATGTGTACTTCCACTGTCAATCAAAATATTCAAAGGTATGCCTTGTATTGTTCCTTGAATCCTCAAAATATTATGACTAATACACCCCGTAATAGCATTCATAGATATCTCTAAGTTTTCCTCTTCTTGTAATAACTGTTGGTCTGAATCAATAGGAACTGATTTTGTAGGAATAGGATTGTCCTCTTCAATCATCATATTGAGGTTTCTTGTTTTACATTGATGGCCTGGCTGAAATTTATCTCCACACTTAAAACAAAGGTTGTTTTGTCTTATGTACTCAATGAGAGTCTGTTTAGTATTGGAATTTGGGGAGGATTTAATAGGTAGTGGAACTGAATTTGGCTTGGAAGTATGAATGGGGTTTGGGTAGGGTGGGCTTTTAAAGGAAGGTCTCAACCTTCTACTTTCAAACTCCAAAGACAACTCATAGAGCTTAGCTTGCTTGCATGCCTCAGATAAATTTTTAGGATCTAAAGCTTTTACTCTATGTTTGATG